CCTTTTTCTCCCTCCTCGCTCACAGACACATAACGGGTATGGCAGTCCATTCTCCCTGCAGCACGGACTACACTGCTCATCAGGCTGCATTCTGCCTGTTAGCTTAGCACAACAACAACAAAAAGGCGCTCTCTCACCCAGGAAACACACAGAGCGAGAGCGTCACCCTGTAACCATGGCAACTGTAACGCTGCCGCCTGGAACAACAGCACGTAGCTGTCAAACAAAACCAAACAGTCCTGACCCGCGACAACATGAAACAGGGAAGTACCGCAGTGTAATCCATTTATTTCAACAAAGTAACTGTATTCTGAATACCACCTTTTTAAACGGTAACTGTAACGGAATACAGTTACTCATATTTTGTATTTTAAATACGTAACGGCGGCACATGTATTCCGTTACTCCCCAACACTGTTTACAGGGGTGTTACCTTTGCAGGCAGCAGGTCGGCTTGGTGCAGGATCATCTCTTCAGACATCAGCAGCGCTCTGTCTGGACTGCAGAGATCGAGAGGCTGAAACAACAACAACACACATGTAAACAAAAGCAAACCACACAAACACAAACACCGTTTTGCTCCTCTGTAGCTGACGGTTGCCCACTGTCAGTCGCCCTCCTCATTACTGTTATTTACCTTTGTTTATGCAAGTAATCCCCATGGAGACTCAATGTCCCGTTACAGGACAGACCTGTTCTCCTTATTTCAGACCATTTAAATTAAGTTCCCCAGCCTTCTCTGCCACACTTTATTCTGCCTTTCATACTGTCGTCATCGCATCTCCTCCTGTTTCTAAACATTCCTGAATTCAGCTTGGATCAAGTATGGGGGTCCTGTATGCACGGGAGGACAGGTCCATCTGGGCCATGCTGTGTGAGAGAGGTTTTCTCTTCATCATTGTAGAGTCTCCATAAAGAGATCTGTAATGACTGTTATAATGAACAAAATAAAAATAAAAAAGGCTGTAACTCTGTTCTGGGTTAGAGCTTAATGGGGCGGAAAAAGATCAGAATCAGAAGGGGTTTTATTGCCAAATGTGAGCAGGTTTACAACATTAGGAAATTGCTGCGGTACTTAGTGCAAACATACTGTCAGACAACACTTAAATAAACATAAAAAAATAAATAAAAGTGCTAAGTAGATAGATGCTCTAAGAGTTTCTGGGTTTGTTCAGGACCCTGGAGCTCTGGGCACTGGATTTGTTTTGGTTCAGTTTAAAGACTCCGGACCTGGATTGGTTCTGACCTGGACGAAAATAGGGAAGATGACGGTTTTGGGCGCCATGGTGACGTAGGTTCCATATCCTGAGCAGGGCACATGTGACTGAACAATGGTGCAGTTCTGGTAGTTGCCATAGTTTCTGGGCGGGGCCAAAGATGTGGAGGAAAGAGGTGGAGGCAGGGTGGAGATTTGCCTGGTAAAAGGTCTCTGTAACGACCCCAAACACGAGTCGTGGAGGACGTTCGGACCTCTGGGGCGAGTCTGGTACAGATGTCCTGGATAACCACAAATGACACGATTAAATAATCATAATATTTACGAGCACTTTGCATATGGATGAATAACATTCAGAGTGGAAGTCGTACCGATCGACCCAGTCCTGTCGTGATAAACTGGTTGCAGCAGCTGGAGAGGAAGAGAACATTTATTTGGAAACTGTTGATTTCAGCATCGTTCTGATGGTGCACGAACATCAGCAAACCAAACTACAAAATGATGTGCAGGTAAATATATGAATGCAAACAAAGACATAAAGAGAGCTTAACAGAATAATGATGGTTTCGATGTGGCGTTTACTCAGTCCCAAAGGTCAAAGTGTTTCACCTGAAACTGTCAAACTGACTAAAATATTCTCTTTCAACACAAATATCTGAGTTTAGCGAGACTCTCTAACTGGAATGATGACTGTACAGCGTCAGGGTATTTCCCATAAAAACAGCAACTTACTGTATTTACAATGTTTTTCATGAAATGGCAGCTTTTCAGATTACGACTTGTTTTTTCTTCTTCTTTGGGGTTTTTCTTTCTTTGGTGAATCGATTAAACTCACTGCGTGTTCAAACCATCTGACATTTTTAGACATTGTCTTCTTCGTACTTCACACTCAGACCGTATTACGTTGGCCTGTCAGGTTGTCACGGGGCTGTCGGTCCCGGTCACAGATTCAACGGCTGCAGTAAGTCGATGTTCTAAACTTCAGTTCTGATTATTCTGACGTCTCTGCACAGGACCCTCAGTGCTGGAACCAAACACTGACAAACTGTGTTCTACTCCTTCTGAATACAGGCCCCGCCTCCTGACACTCACCTGCCCTTCTGGGTTGACAGGTGACAGGATGATGTAATTGTCTCCATTTGATGATGTCACACGTGTGCCCTTCAGGGTGGTGGTGTGAGGTGTGTACATCTCCTGGTCTTCCTCCTCTTCCTCTTCCTCCCGGTCCTCCTTTCTATCCCTCCATAGAGAACCTAGAGCTCCCAAACTGGCCCGGACCCCTGACCCCTGACCCCATTTGCGGTCTTGTTTGCTTTGGGTGGGGTTAGACAGCAACTTCCTGCCTGTCGTCTAGGAGACAGAGGAACATTAGCTTAGTGTAAGATCAGTTAATAAGCGCTCATTTGTCTGGCGAGCTGTTGTGAGGTCAATGATACAGAAAAGGAGAAGCACAGTGAAGTAAACATGAGAGCAGACATCAGAGACACAACCTGAAAACACAGAGTTTATATCAACCCACGTTCTTCTGATGTTCAGCTGTGAGCTTAACTAGCATGTAATGTTCAGCACTTGTTTTCTTGGATGGTCAGGTGATGTGTTGCTATGAATTAGGGGATGGCATCATCTCCTCTTCTTTTACAAATGATGCTACAATGTCTCCTTGGCTAAAGGAAGGAATAAAGGAAGCACTGAAGCTCCCACACGGTGTCTTCCAGCCCTCACTGGTGGTTGTGCCAGAGGTTTCTTTTTGTCAGAAGGGAGTTTTTCCTTCCTGTTACCAAGTGCTAGCTTTAGCAGGTCTGACTGTCGGGGTATTATCGTAGGTCTTACGCTATAAACCTCGAGCTGATTTGGTGTTGTATAAGTAAAACTAAAATGAGCTGAATGAGAGCTCCTTTGATTATCTGCAGCTGTGATTATGACCACAGGTGCAGTTCAAATGGTCCTCATGCATGAAACTCACCGCGCTGTGTGTGTGTGGGCGGAGCATAGCGTCACATGCTGACCGGACCTCAGGTAAACTTCTCCACACCACCAACACAATCTGAGACTGACAGCTCCTGAGGAGACGCGCCACTGTTAGTATTCACAAAAGGCCAAATGTGCCCTGTGATTTACCTGAACAGGTGGGGTCACTCTCACAGGGGGCAGGGTTACCTGATGGCATGGGCAAGGTCGACGCACTTCCAGGTCTCTACAGGAAGCCCATTGAGCTGCAGGACCGAGTCTCCCTGACGGAGTCCAGATTGATGAGCCGGACCGCCTATGAGCAGTGAGGACAGCCAGGTGTTTATTACCTGTGAGTGAACAGGATGTCGTACAGCGGTCGTGGAATTGTCTTTCTCACCTGGATCTACCGCCTGCACTCTGACCGGGCAGTCAGAGCAGATGGTGAAACCGAATCCATCTTTTCCTCGAGCGATGCTCACCTGCAGGACAGTCAGAACACACCTGAAGTCAGTTTAAAACTCCACCTTCTCAGCGAGGCGTAGCAGGTCTGCTTTCCTGTCACAGAGCCCAGATTAAGTCTGGAGGAACTCCTTTTGTTCTCCACACATCTGAGCAAACTCTGACGATGTTTCACCTGAAGGTGAGACCCTACAGGTGACAACATTTTGGTGCACTGGTCAGTTTAGAGATTTGGGGTCATTTGGAAAAGCCGACCATCGAAGGATTTTTCTCTTTATGAGAGATCAGCAGGGAGCTTTGGTGATGATACGCAGGGTTAGGGTTACTCTCTTCCAGGAGATTTTATTTTCCAATAAAAGCAGTTGAAATCTTACAGCCCGCCTCTTTGAAGGCTGATTTCTTAAAATGACACGTTTATTCTCAGAGAGCCGCTGAGGAGTCGATTATGGAGCCTTCTGTTGGTTTCAGTATTTTGGATCAAATTATCACCTTGCTGTTCTAAAACGTTTGTTCGGTCGTGTCATGTAAACATAAACTGTGAGGGTAAATGAGCCTGCAGTGAACCTGTTCGTTTGACTCATGTATGCTGTCCTGTGCTGAGTTACCGGCGTGGTCACTCTGTTATTGATGACTCATCACCTTAAAGTTTCTTCTCAGGATGACTGAGAAGCTGTCGTGTAGGACAGAAGGCTGCTGTCAGGTCAGGTTTGTTCCTGCTGTGATGCTCTCAGCCTGCAGGGCGCACCGTGTGTTACTCCACGGCCCTGTTGACCGAGGCCCATTGGGCCATGTTTGGTGGGGGTCTCCAAGTGGTTTCCATGGCTGTGTAAACAGAGACGGCGCAAGGAAAGGTCGCCTCGTCCTGAGAGTTTCCTCGCCACAATAGAAGTTTAATGTCCCCGACTTCAGACTGACAGGCTGATATTAAAACTGCTGCAGGGGAACCAAGAACAGCGTCGGGGTGAAGGTATGCAAACAGCATTTGTCTGCAGGTTCAGTCCTGCTCTCACGATCCCGCTCCTGCGCCATCTTCCTGCCTCTGCAGAGCTTTCAGGCCAAACAGGAAGTGGAATGACCAGGAATAGGAAGCTGAGCGTGCCTTTAACACAGCTTTGCATTTGTCTAAATCAACAATTTCCCCCGGCCCCCTCAGGCTGAGCCAAGTGGGAAAAGGAGATCAGAGGAGGTTAGAGAAGCTGTTTGAACATTTAAATACCAAATAATCATTTCGATTCATGCTCTGAGGCAGTGAAGCGGCCTTTTTAGACGTCCCACTGCTGTGGCGCTCTCGAATCAACAGAAGCGCACGTCAATCTGGTTTGAACTCGTGACAAAGAACCGAGAAACCTTCAAACTGTGAAAGGTGGACCTCAGGAGAGGGATTGTTTTCTGACTTCTAATTGGCTGAGGATGCAGGGCTGGTGCTCAGAGCTGTCCTGAGAAATCGTGGGACGGAGTTAAACCCCAACACGTTGGACCTCCTTTACCTGTCCACTGAAGGATTTGTAAACTGGAGCCAGTCAGACCATTTCTTTAATTACAACTCAGGACCAGGATGAGGACGGTGTCAAAGGTCAACTGTCTCACCTGATCTGTGCGGCTCTGGTTCTCAATGATATTTTCCATATGTGGGCCAAGGACAGGCAAACAGTAAAAGTGTCGGTCGGGGAATCGTCTCTTTGTCTGTTTGTTCACAGTCTTCACTTTTTAGGTGCACGGAAAGCCAGCATTCACAGACCCACCATGACTTTGCACACATCACACAGAACTCCTGTTCCACGTGCACCTGCTCCCAGTCACGGGGGAGCTGCCATGCGCGCCCCTGAACCCTCTGCTCCACCCCTCCCCTGCAGCTGAGTCCCGAACCACACCATCACACTTTGTCTCCAACATTATAGTAACAGCTCTGCTCCATATTAGCCGACTGACTTATTCTGCTCTCAATGAGCTGAAACTGAACCGAGATAAAACTCTGTTTTGTCTAAGTTATTCTCTGGGGTCAGAGGTCACAAAAATAAAGGAATTGCTAGTAAAGTTAGTAACTAGCACAAAGAATTTGAGTCTGGACTCATCGTTTCAGTTTATACTTTAGTGGTTCTGCTCTGCTTGCTCTCTGATGTCATCTGATGCTTTTGGACCAAACCGTCTGAGGTCCAGCTCTCCATCACTGGTAGCTCCGCCCTCCGCCCTGCTCTAACAGAACGAACTTCCTGTTTCATTCAGTAAGACCCGAAACCAGCACGTGAGACGCTCCGGTTACACAGCACACACACAACACAGGACACTGTGGAGCTTTTCCCAGGAACATGACACACATCCAGGCGTGACATCAAACTGCACAGCCAATCAGGAAAGCAGTTTGCTTTCTGCCATTTTTGTGGCGAACTGAGCTTCCTGCGATTGGCGGTATTGAATACCGATTATCTGTCAAACTCTTTTAAACAGACAGAAACAAAGAAAACTGTGCTGACCTGGATCCAAGAACCTGAAACAGCTTTTAGTCTCAGAGCTGCTGTGATGCATGAAACGTCCCAGTCAACATCATCAATAAGCACAGAGGTCAAGACTGATCGATGGAATCAATAATCATAGCTTTAGACCTGAGGCAGGTTCTGTCCGATGCAGACGCGACACAGACGGTGGATGGTGTGCATGGCAGCAGGTCAGAGTTCGAATCCTGTGGATCCACCAAGTGGTCCTCAGCAGAGCTGAACCAAACCAGGATGAAGATCCAGACCAGGTCCGAGTCCAGCGTGCCGATCGAGGTAAACCCGTGTGAGCGCGTAGCAGAGGCTCAGAGGTGAACTGGATGTATGTGTGTGGGAACCAGCACACAGAATAATAGCAGGAAACTCACACACTCAGGCACACAAAAACAGTGGATGTGTCCCTGTGATAACACGCACACACTTCCTGAGCACACACACTCGGGCTGACGTGTGTTTGTGAGGGCTTTGACTCATTAATGTTTTCCCAAGCTCCTGAATGCGAGTCCTCTGAAATCTGCCTGAAACACCCACAAACACCTGTAAACACCAGCAAACGTGTACAAACACCCACAAACACCTGAGAGCTGGAGCTCTGGTTGCTCTGCACAGGAACAGAGGACACACTGTGTTGGACCTCATGTTTCGGATGTTTCTGAGGCTGGGGTCAGAGAGCAGCTTGTGACAGTTACAGAAGCAGCTTCACTCCATAATTCATCACACGTGAATGTTTGATGAGCCTCTCAGAAAAACAGTAAAACACGAGGAGCCTGCGAGCAGTCGGAGCAAACAGGACCACGATGCTCAGAATAACCTCCATCAGCATTATTCATCCTCTCTGAGCAGGACGCGCTCCATCAGCAGCTGGTTACACTGTAAGTAACGCTTCACCCACCGGTTAGTGAAGTCACATCTGAAGACCCAACAGAGACATGTCGGGTCTTCTTTCAGGAAGTGACCATATTTGGACGAGAGGGCAGAGTGCTTTGTTATCAGCTAATCCTAACTGTACTAGACTGTGGAGAGCATCTTACTGTTAATTAGTATCGAAATCCTTGAATTTCATTCACCAAAACTGAAGCTCCGCCTTCTTGGGGCGCTCAGTACAGTGACAGCAGCCATATTATCGGTCACATGATGTCATTAAAAAGCATGATGCATAAAGTTAAATGATTAAAACTAATAAAACTAATAAAAAGTTTTTCATTTGATTCAGATTTATATGATGATTATGGAGAAAAAGTAGAATTGGGCTGAAAGGTCTGTTGCTTTATTACGTATTCAGGTTGTGTATCATGTTTTTGAAAAGTAACTATGTAACTAAGTAACTAATTAGTTTTGAAAATAAGTAACTAATTAGTTACTAATTACTTTTCTCAAGTAACTTGACCAACACTGATTGGGACTAGTGCTGCGTCTGCTGGACGGTAGAGGAACTGCAACCTTCACACACTGTCGATCAGATAAACCAAACTAAAGTTACAGTTACTCTCTCGTGACCAACCAACTTCTTTGTTGTCTATTGCGTTACGTTCAGGAACAGAAGGAGATATGGTCGCTGTGAACATCGCACCTCCACCTCCTCCTGGTGCATGTTTAGCGGCGTGTGTGCGTGTACGCTGCTCACCTCCATTCGCTGCATAGCGCTGCCGTCTCGGCCAGCGTACTGCTGGCTGGTGTTGGTGTACAGTGTGGAGGCGTGGCTGCTGTAGCTGGTGACCTCAGAGTGGAGGCTGGAGATCAGGTCTTTTGGCCCGCTGGTGCTGGTGGCACTGGTGGAGGTGGACTTTGTCAGGCTGGCCGTGGACGCACCGGTGGAGGAAGCCGCATCAACGATGTGGTTCAGGTCAGAATCAGGGGTGGAGTCCGGAGTCCTCCGAAGGTCTGCTGCAAGCAGATAACCACCATCATCATCATCATCACCTGCTGCATCATCCCACGACCACGCCGCATTCTTCCAGAACATCTCGGCTGTCCTCGGAGCAGACTGAGCGCACCCAGGACACCAGCAGAGACCCAGGTACGCTACAGGTAAAGGGGTATGCCCGGGCTCACAGAGCTGCTGCCACACTGCAGGATTTGACCTCGAGACCAACAAAACGTATCATGTGACACAGAACGGGGCTGAACAACAAACAGCTGCTGCAGGCAGACCGAAGCTGCTTCTTCTGTGGTCCCGCGCTTGCTCTGTGCAGCCCGGCGAACCACAGTCAGCCCTCAGTATGATGTCAGAGAGAGAGAGAGAGAGGGACATGAGCACAGAGGTATTGTGAGGGTCACATGGTTAGTGGGCTGCTTGTCATTACCATGGTAACCATGTGGACCCCTGGGGATGAGTGAGAGAGCAGGAGTCACTTTTAATCTATATCAGCCCCCCACCCCCCAGCCTCTATAAATAGACGAATGTATGGATCCACACACGGGCAAGCAGCTGCTTACGGCGCCGTCACCACGAAGCCCGACTTTTAGGATTCAAGCGTTCCTTCTTGATAAAGCAGTTGGTGCTGGATCAGGTGACCCTGCAGCGTAGCTGACAGTCTTCACTGACTCTGTGTCATTGTTGGATCGACCTCACAGCAGAAAGCGCCCTGAGGCAATGGCTGCTGTGATTTGGCGCTGCATAAATAAAACTAAAGCATAACGGTAGATGAAGACTTCACGCTGCCACAATCGCCAAACATCAAACACGCAGATCAGACTTTAACAGCAGACCGGCCACAGTTGAGCTGACCTTTGACCTCTCCAATCAGGCAGGCCATCACACTTTTCCTGTTGGAGTATTATTTCCTCTCTAGGTGCTTCATGGATCACTCAGTCTCCAAATCTCGACTGAAACTAAGGCTATGTTGACACTGCAGGTGAAAGCGCATCAAATCCGACTTTTCTGACCCTCTGCGACTCATATCCGATCACAGTGTGACAGTGTGAACGGCACAAATCCGATATTTACAAATCCGACCTGGGTCACTTCTGTATGTGGTCCTGAATCCGACACATATCTGATGTTTTAGAAAGCGGCTGCTGTTTGACGGTCACGTCGCATTAAATCCGTCTTTTACGTCCCTGACACAAGACAGACGCCGATTATCAGCGCCGGAGAAGACATCGCGAACGCTTCCTGTCCGTCCAGTACAACTGCTGGGAAGACAGCGTTGGAGAAACGTGAACATTTTATTTGTTCTGTATAATCTGCAGATTCTGACAGAAATCTGCAGCTAGAAGCTCCGCTCCTCTAAAACAGCAACAAGGATCATTATTAGGCCAAATGTAGATAACACAGTAACTTTATAACTTAAAGGAAAACTGGGAAACAAAGTCAGAAACAGTCAAACACTGTTTGCTCTGGGTCTAAACGTCGTGTGTGACCTCTTCTTTTGCGCATGCGGCCGCTTTGAGCGTTCACACTAGATGTTGTTTTTTTAGTGCTATATAAATAAATTATGGGATTCACAACACCTGTCAGCTGACTCACCTGTAACAGAATGACATCATCAGACAGGTCACTGTGAAGCTCCTCCCCTGACTTTCGGAAAGTTGCTTCACAATCACCGGGGTCACATGACCACGGAGGAGCCAATCCTTACCTCTGATGTCCACACACGCCTCTTCAGAGCTTCTTGTTGGTTTGCTTCTGTGTGATGTCACTCTCAGGTGTTTGCTCCACCCATACTCCTCCGCCAAGAGGTAGAACCAACCATTGAGGGGCTGTCATTCCAGAGGAGGCGGAGCCAGCAGGTTACAAAGTGTATAAACAGTCAGTGCGAGATTCTCTGCTGCGATTACTTTAACTCACCTCACAGGATGAGACGAGAGAGCCAATCCTGAAGTTCATACAGCCAATCAGCTGACTGCGCCTGAGGAGATGGACACACCTGATGAGTAAGACAAAGCACCGCCTTCAGGCCAGATAGTCTGCATAACCTTAGATAATTCAGGCCGTGAACTTTAATTGGAATGTTTAAAGTAAAACATTTGATTTCCTGTTTTCAAGAGCTCGGCGGCAGAAGAAGGTCACAGGGACGAGGATCCTTTGGCTGGTTTGTGTCCTTGCTGTCCAGGTTCAAGTGAAGCTTCTGGTTTGAAACCCTGTGACGCTGAATAACCGAGCTCAGGATGGTCGGCATGTTCTCGCCAAACACACTGAGCGTGCCCATCAGTGCTCTGTGTTTGCATGCTTCAGAGCCTCAGCTTTCTCAGTCAGTCATACAGATTTCATCTCTGTGGTGTTCTGCATGTATTAGAGCTGTTTCTTATATTTTGTATTATTTAAGTTCAGTCGGTTCTTGTTCTGATCGTCTTGGAGCAACCGCATCATTCTGGATCAGAGGACGGAGCAGCTCGGCCTGTTTCTGGAAGCTTTCTGAACCTCCTGCGTTTGTGGTTCTTCTCTTCATGCTCAGGTAATGAGGTGTCTTCCTCCTGGAGATTCTTCTTCTCTGGCTGGATGTTGTGACCATGGAAAGGAAAGATCCACACCTGTGCAGGTACCTGCAGCCTTGAAGCTGAACTCTTCCTCCAGTCTGGATGTTGAAACCTCAAATTCAAGCTGAGTCTGAACTTTTCATCATGTGACCTCAAAGTGTTTAAAAAAGTGAACCACGTGAGCCCCACTGCCACCATCAGGCCAGAGTGTGAACTGCAACATGTGTGGATGTCCAGCCTGAAGAGAGCTGCAATCATCAGCAGCTCAACAGGTGAGAGTCAGAGTGATGTCATCACTCACCTGTTGTCAGCAGGTCGTCTGAACACTGAAACCAGCAACCTGCTCGGCATGAACTCTCCTCTGATCCACCTGAGACACACACACACACACACACACTGTAAACACAATGGAAATGCAAACAGTGTAAACCACATGTGTCCAACCTGAGGCACGCGGCTTGAATCAGGTGCATCACTCATTTAAGCCGGCCCTCCACAGGAAGAAGAAACAGGGTGTGCAATTCTGATACACGCTACAGTGCCCATGCAGCTTGGGGTCAGAGGTCAGCGATGCACTTCAGTGTGAGTCCAGACTTCAGTCCGAAACGTTTGAATCGACTTTAAGCAACAAAGGAACAGGTAAGTGATGAAGAGCAGCCGGAGGACATGCTCTCTGTCTGCACTTTGAACTCTGCTCACTCACGGACGCAAACATCCAAACGCGAGGAGATGAAAGCACGTCTGACCGTCTCCTCATCTCCCTCAGAAAAACTGAGCTCGCGCCTGCAAAGCTGCCATGTACAGACCCTCGACTGCCACGGCTGTCGAGGGTTTGAGGAGCTCCATGAGGAGCTCAGGAGCACAGCCACATTCTGCTGTCTCAATGGTGGTGCTGATGGAGGTGGGTGGAGGGTGTTTTAGAACTGGCTGCTTGGTTAGTAGTTATATTTTCCTTCATTCAGGAGTGCAGACAAGTGTTGATGCTGTATGTGATTCCACTTAATCCATGATAACCACAATGTAGTATCCATGCATGTGCAGATGATGCACATGTGCACCAGGCTCAATGTCGGCCCCTCTCAGACGCAACACGTAAATGCATCTGGCAGTGCTGACATGTTGGGAGCCTCAGGTGGGTGAGCACAGCGCTGTGCATGATTATTAGGTACTGACACCTGTGCGCCACCACGAGGAGTATATTGTGTAAACTAGGATCGGCAGTGTCACATGATCTGCACCGACGCTCAGCACCGGTGCCCCCCAGGGATGTGTGTGCAGGCCACGGCTGTGCAGCCCCACCCAGCTCCAACAGCATCATCATCAGTTGTCAGGACAAGAACCTGCTGCTCAACATCAGCAACACCAAGGAGCTCGTGGGGCGGAGGCATTTACATCGAGGGGAATACAAGTGGAGAGAGTCGGATGCTTCGGGCTCCTGGGCATCACATCACTGAGGACCAGCAGCTATGACGCTCTGTGACCAGCACAGTGCATCAGCAGGTCTGAGCTGCCAGCCATCCAGGACATCTACAGGAGGAAGGCCCAGAGGATCTTCTCTGGTCCCAGCCACCACAGCCTCACGCTCTTCATGAGGAGCGTCCACACCCACAGCAGCAGGGACAGTTTCTACCCACAAGCCATCAGGACACTGAGCTGCTGGAATATTGGACAGTTTATATTACACACTGTACATGTATGTGGCACTACCTCTGCACTACAGTCGCTACAGTATTTTTAATATCTGTATTCATTGATTTTACTCTTTTTTATTAAGAATTTCATTGGATGGTTGCAGCTGTGAAGAGCTAAAACTATTATATTGGAGCGCTGACTGTACGGGGGCGAGGCTCGCGAGCTGTGAGCCAGCCTGCCTGACAGCTCATGCTCTGGTGCAGGTAACGGTGATGTTCGTACAGCTGAAGCTGCTGGCTGCGGGAAGCCTTCTTTGAAACCTCCACACTGGATCAGACTGTAGGTAAGAACTCAGGACAGGAAATGGCGTGATCCAGGATCTTTCAGTGAAAGTTCATTTCCAGTCTGACCCCGGACTGGAACTCCTGCAGCAAACTCTCATAGCACAGTCGAAGGTGTCCTGAGTCCCAGCGCCGTCTCTATAAGTGTGCGATTAGAAACCTTTGTGTGACTCACAGCTTAAAGCGGCGCTCGTATTTTGGGTTCTTGTTGTTGTAGACCGTGTGAGTTTTAATCCTGATGCTGCGTTGCAGGTCATAGGTCACGGCCAGCTGTGAACACATGCACAAACAGGTCTTTGATATTAGACTGTCGCAGTAGCAGCTGATCAACTTACTGACATCACATCCTCACCTTCACATAGGAGTCACATGATCTCTGGGATTGTCCCATCAGCCCTCTGGCCTCATGGACTGCAGACACAAGAGAACAGGCTGACCAAACGAAGACGGATGAACGATTGATCACTGGAACACTGAGCTCCAGGACAGGAAGTCACTTCCACAATGTGCCGACAGCAGCGCAGTCACAGTTCAGCCCGACAGCAGAACGCCTGATTTATTACAGGATAATATTTATTTCCATAAACATAAACTCTGCATGTGAATCTGTCAGAGAACCTCAAAGAGTAGGAGAGGCAGCCATCTTTGTTTTTAGCTGATCAAACACTGTAAGTCTGAGTCTCTGCTTATCCACCCGTCGTCCACACTTAGTCTGACTTTTTACTGGGCTACTCTGAGGTTCTACCTGTGTTTTAATGATTATTCTATTCTATTCTAGCTGTCAG